TTTTAAACTCATTTTACGGACTTATAATAATTAAAGACAAATTAGTATAATTGTGTCGAACGGTTAAACGCCTATACTACACTAAACAAAATCACAATTCACAGTACTTATATAAAATCATATCTTTAATAATTTATCTAACTGACAGTCGGAATTATCGTTCCTATTAACGAAAATATTGTTATTATTAGTTTGTTTAGTCTAAGACTACATTTATAAGATAAAATATTATCTACATTTTCAAGCTAAAGACATAATAATGTTTTATCTTCGACTACCCAATTCCTAATTATCCGACTAATTTAATACTACATTTATTAGCAAAACCCTATTGACCTACGTTGTGACGTGGCGTGTCATAAATGTATATTGGAAAAACGAGTGAAAAATATACAGTACGGGGTTTAACTCGCCTAATGCTGGGTACATAATTCAGTGCAAGGTTCGATATACACGTTGGCGAACGACCGTTATTTAGAATTTAAATTTATTATTTATATGATTATGGGGAATAATGAATAACGAATAACCGAATAATGAATAAAATATAGTAAATAAAAATATCCGAATAATGAATAAGGAATAATAATAAAAATTAAAATAATGAATAAAAATGAAAATAAATAATAAAATTAAGAATAATTTTTTATTCGAATAATCATTCAAATAACTTTTTATTTGAATAATGCCCAACTCTGGTAAGCTCTTCATGTCTACCAAAAACTAACACCAGTAACATAATAAACACAAATGTCACAACACCCACAACTACTACCACGATCAATATTAATGTCACAACTACAACCAAAATCTCTAATTTCACAACTACTAGTACTACTAGTGATATTAAGACGATAGTTTCAAGTAAACCTACCTTAGAAAATAATTCTGAAGCATTTCAGCATATGCACCGACACGGAAAACATTATATTAAATGCATTGCCTGTAATAAATATCCTGATATCGTAAAAAAACATACAATTAAGTCACAAATACCAAAAATAGCTCAAGATCTCGGTGCTTTATTTAGACAAGAAGTAATTGATAACCATTTAACAAAACCGTATCATACAATCAGTATAAAAATGCTACGTCTTTCTACGTTACCTAATTCTATTGTTCAACAATCTACTCAAATGGGTCGTGCTATTTTGAAGGCTAATGAAAAACTTGGTAATAAAATTGGTTCTCTAATGATACATACGTATGGGGATGCTAAAAAACTAACTCTAAGTGCATATACATATCCTATGAGAGTAATAACTAGTCAAATAGCTTCTAACTTTACTTTTAATGAATTAAATGAAAATATCACGTATGATTTCCAATATTTGACTCCAGCGTCACATAAAGAGTTCCTTTAGTGTATTGTAAAAAGTTATAAAAAAACATTTTCGGATAAATTAATTTCAGAAACAATATCTATGTCATTGCGTTGCGATGGATCAGTGGATCGTTCACAGATCGATAAAATTTATATAATACTTAAAACAGTGTCATTAAAAGGAGTCGAAGAGCAGTATTTTTTGGGTGCAGGGCAAGTTGAACAAAGAGGTGCTGAGGGAATTTTGGACGCTATTGAAACAGCTTGTATAAATAACGTAGGTCATGATGTTACTGAATACATTTTTAAAAATATATCATCGATTGTTACTGATGGTGCTGCAGTAAATATTGGTAGTAAAGGAGGTTTGTGAACGTTGGATGAAAATAAATGGAGAAATAATTCAAATAAAAGTAATGTACCATTAATTAAGATTTGGTGTGTTGTTCATCGGTCAAATCTTGCATGGAAAGATGTAAGTTCTACCGTAGTAGAAGTATCTCATATCGTAAGTAAGTTATCAGGAATTTATGCTTTTTTCCACAACTCAGCACTTCGAACTAGAGATTTACAACAACTTTCTAAGGAAAATAATTTACAGCTAATAAGGATATCAACATTTTTTCAAGTGCGATGGACAGAATTTTCCTTTAGCTTAGTTAACGCAATATTAATTTCATGGAAAGCTCTGGTTATATATATGCAAAATTCGAAAGAAAAAGAATCCAATGGATTTTTATTATTATTAACAAATAAGGACACTATTTTTTTATTAGCATTTTTGGCAGATGTATTGGCCATTTTTAGTCGCTATCAACAAACTATTCAAAGTGATAAAATAACGGTTTTGAATCTTGTTAAACATACTGAGTCAGTTGTAAACAAAATTAAATCATTGAGTTCAATTAATTTAGTTGGTGGTTGGGTAGATGTACTCGAAGATGAACTTAAAGGTACCGACGGTAAAGTTTTAAAAGATATAAAAATAATTGATTTTCAAGAAAAACGAAAACATAGGCATAATTTGTATGTAACTGAAAATAGATCTGTAAGTGCTATATGCCATGAAATAGTAGAAACTTTGGCTAATTTTTTGCAAGACCGCATAGATATTGATAAATGTTTTATTAGTACTATTAAACCTGTTGCTAACCTTGATAGCAAAGCTAACATTAAGAATGTATTTGACGTTTTGGGTAAGGATTTAGATTTAGCTGATTTAAATATGGAGTATACAGATTTAATGGAACACAATAGATTAGAAGAGATACGACAAATGCCACTGCCTAAATTGGTGCAATATTTATCTCATTCCAAAGAGTTTAAAAATATTACTATTTTACTTGCACGTGTTATAGCTGCAAAACCTCACAGCGCTGACGTTGAACGGTTAATAAGTAAAAAGCAATATTCTTAAATCAATAATTCGTCAAAGTTTGCATGTTGAAACAGAAAATGAATATCTTTTTATTCATTTTAACATGCCTGCTCTTCAAAATTGGGACCCAAGACCAGCAATACAAATATGGTTAAACCAAAATGAACGCCGCATAAAAGAAACTCCTAAAGCCAAAGAACAGGAATGGTTCAGTGGGATATTTATGGAAGCGACAAAAAGAAAATCTGAAGACCAAACTGAACAAACGATTAAAAGAAGAATGTTCTAATAGTATTATGTTATGTGTTATGTATATAAATAATATGAAAAAAATAAAGAGGAAATATACAAAATACAATATTTTAAACGTGAATGTTTATTTTGTTCATAATAGGTTAAATTTTAAATTCTTCCACATTAAAACTAAAAATATTATCATTTTTAACTATAGTTTGATATTATATTTCGAGATTATTATAGTTCTATTTTTATAGGCTTATTTAAAAAAAATGCGTAGTTGATAAAAATCCTTAGAATAAGCTCTGAATCATATTATCTATATTACTTAATGTTAATAAAATACATCCCATTGATCCATATATGCTATTTGCATAGTTTTGAAAACACCTTACATCACTACTATAATACTAAAAATATTTTATAAATTATTATTTTAACTATAATAGTACACGCTTTTTACCTGTGAACGGTCTCTATATTTTTTTATTTGTTGAACATGTTTTTTTTCTACTTGTTTTTTACCATTTTTATCTATCTCAACCAAATATGTTACCGGATTAATTTTTTTATTTTGTGCTAGTAATTCGTTTACCTCTCCATATTTTTTTTTGAAATTAAGACTAATATTTTTGCTCATATCAAAATCTTGCAAAACGCAATGCACTAAATTAAATGTTTCATTAAAATAGTTACTAAACAAATCTTGATTCACTTGTTTAATATCAAAATTAAATATTACCCCTTTGTCATTATTATATATAAAATCATCATGAGAAATATGATTGTATAATTTTTCAGTGGAATTTATATTTATTAAATCTAAATTTATATCATAACTAATTTTTGACGACTTATCAAAACCTATCGGGTGTCTTGATAAAAAATCTGCTGCTTTATTAAAAATACCTTGCTTATATATTATGTTAAATTCATATCCTATTAATTTTGTTCTTATACGATTTAATACATGTGATTCTGATTTTATTTTTTGGAGACCCACTAAATTTTTGTGGTCTGTCCAAACTGTAAATTGTTTACCATATAGATACTGTTTAAAATGAGTGCATCCAAAAAACAAAGCTGACGCCTCAAGTTCTAACGCTGAATAGTTTTTTTGTGCTGGCGTCAATTTTTTTGCACCAAAAGACACCGGATGAATATTACCATCGCTATCTCTTTGCTGTAAAATTACACCTAAACCTAATAAAGATGCGTCTGTTACTAAAATAGTGTCGGCTTCTTCGTCATAATGCATTAGTACTGGTAGTGTTATTAATTTATTTTTTAATTCATTAAAAGCGTTTTCGTGGTCTTTTCCCCACTTTATTTTATCTTTTTTTGTTTTAAAATTACCTTTTATTAATTCTGTTAAAGGGAAAGTGATTTTACTAAAATTTGGAATGTACCGGCGAAAATAATTTATATTAGTCGGTGAAACTACTTGTGTAATTGCTCTAATCCCTTCATTTGTAGGACAAATACCCTTACTATCAATTATATTTCCTAAAATTTTCAACTCTGTGTACCCAAATTTACATTTCGATAATTTTAATTTTAAATTAAATTGTTTAAATCTTTCTAAAGTTAGTTCTAATGAAATTAAGTGTTCGTCAAAGCTTTTCCCAAAACACGTGCAATCGTTGATATAATTTACATTAATTTTATAATTTAAATTTGTCATAATTTTATTCATAGCCTATTGATATTTACTCGGACCGTTACAAATTCTCATTGACACACGTTTAACCCTCGGGCACCCGCACGACGACACTCCGTGCCGCACATTCATTAAAATTGATATTGCTTGAATGTGCATGGTCTTATCGCCCGATAAGAAACAGATATCATATCTAAAAATAGCTGGCTATTTTATTACCGATACACCGAATTTATTGCTAGTTTACTCAGTTGACAGTGAGTTTGTGAAGTTTGAAGGTCAGTCTATCGACATTCCGTACCGTCCGCGTGTGTTCGTGTTTTTTTAAATCGGTACGCAGTGCCGTCCGCGGGTGAACTTATATTTCAATCTTGCGTTCATATCAATTGATACTTGATAGTATGTCTCAGTTTCGTCGATTTTGCGGAGATGATGAGATCGCGGCTCTTTTACAAGAGCTAAACGACGAAGGTAAGATTGAATTTACTATCATAAATTATTATTATTATTTTTTTTTTTATATGAAATATACTAATAAATACTACGTAAAAACTAGTTGTTACTTTTATAAACATTTATCAAATACTTCTTTATGTATATATAATTTTATTTTTATAAAAGTAGGTATTACAATTTTTTTTTAATTTTTCAATTTTTATGTTTTAATAAATAATATTTTGTAATAGCTCAAATTTTATAATTTTTTCAGGTGATGCTTTTTATAATACTAACGATGTTGATCCAATTGCTGACTTTAGTGATGACAGTGAGGTGGAAGATGAGGTAATATTACCAAACGATCATTCAAGTGAAAGCGAATTATCAGTAGAAGAAGAACATAGCTCTTCACCTCAATCTGTAAGTTTTGATTATAATAATACCCTTGATGATTATTCCGACTTTGACGTTTTTATGGGAAAAAATGAAGAAACTTTTTGGTTCAGCAATTGCCTAGCTTTGCCTAAACAAAAAATCAAGTCAAAAAATATAATAAAAGTTTTGCCGGGACCGACAAGATTTTCAAGAGAGGCCAAAAGTGAAATAGATATTTTTCTCAAATTTTTTTCACTTGAAATAATTGACAAAATTGTTTTTTACACTAATAAATTCATTGATAAGCGAGCTGCTAAAGTTTATAACAGATATATTGAACTAGACAATGAATTCAGAAGTAGGGAATTCAAAACGACTACAAGAGGCGAAATTTTAGCACTTATAGGAATATTATTCTATATGGCCACATGCAAGACAAGTCGTGCGAACGCAAAAAGTTTTTGGAAAACAGACGGTACTGGTATGGTATTATTTCGTGCAGCGTTCAGTTACAATAGATTTTTCTTTTTATTGCAATGTCTTCGGTTTGATGATTTGGATACTCGGGTTGAAAGACAACAATCTGATAAACTTGCTGCAGTAAGAGAAATGTATACACTTTTCAATGATAATAACATGAAAAATTATTCCCCTTCAGAATTCGTTACTATAGATGAAAATATGTTGTACGCTTTTAGAGGGAGGTGTAGTTTCATACAATACATGCCGGCCAAGCCTGCAAAATATGGACTTAAATTGTATGCATTGTGTGATGCGAAAACATTTTACGTCTATAATTTTGAGATATATTGTGGCAAACAAAACCCCGGACAGTTTCTCGTATCCAACAAACCATTTGACATTGTTATGCGACTTATTGAACCTCTAAAGACCTCAAAACGAAATTTGACAACCGATAATTATTATGGTAGTTATCCCTTGGCACAAGAGTTACTCAAAAAGGGTATAACCCTCGTCACCACTTTGAAAAAAAATAAAACCGATATTCCACCAGGATTTCTTCCAAATCCAAAACGTAAAGTAAAATCATCTCTATTTGGATATCAAGATGAGTGTACTTTGGTGTCTTACGTTCCTAAAAAAAAACAAAGCTGTAATTTTATTATCTACTATGCATGATGGTCCTGGTGACATAAACGAAGAAACCGGAAAGCCTGAAATCATCCATGATTACAATAAAACAAAAAGTGGAGTAGACACAGTTGACCAAAAGTGCTCGGTAGCTTCAACAGCTCGGAATACTAGAAGATGGCCGCTTGCATTGTTTTTCCGTTTCTTGGATATGGCTGGGGTAAATTCTCATATTTTATACGTTGCCAATAATATATCAATGTACAATTATCGCAAATTTCGAAGGTTGCCGTTTCTTCAAAGGCTCGCCACGAATCTCTTAGAAGAACATTTGAAAGAAAGGGCCAAAGTGAAGGGTCTTCCTAAAGATGTACAGTACTTTCTCGCTAAATACAAAAATGAAGATGTTTGCTCTGTTACTCATGGAGAGAATCTACCGAAATCTGGAGCTTGTCATGCATGTGGAACAAGAAAAAACAACAAAACTACGGTTAGATGTTCCCTTTGTACTCGTTTTGTTTGTAAGAAACATTGCACGAATGTAATCAAGTGCCACTCATGTTAAAATTCTGAAAGTTCAGAATCAAGTATGGAAAATTAAAATTTAAGAAAAAGATTAGTAAAAAAGTCTGTTATAAAAGTTTATTTATTAAAAGTTTAAAAGTATAATTTTTAGTTTTATTAATAAATACGTTTATCTATCATATTCATGTTTTATAATCACATTTCTCAAAATTATGATAAAAATATAATAAAAAAATGAAAAAACTACAAACTTTGTGTATATTAAATTCACTATAAGCCATTTTAACGTAGATAAGAGTCTCTGAAAGTAGGTATTATACTTATAATTACCAGATATTTACACTACGTATTTGTTTTGAGATTTTTCACAGTGCTTGTTTGAAGTAACAAATGTTTAAAAATCAACATTCAAAAAGATTTTTTATAGTTATTCACGAGGTATTTAAGTTTTTATTGTAAAACCATTAATAAGCGAGTTATTAACAAATTTAGAACAAATTCCGTGGTGTCGACACTGAGTGCCGTCCGCGGGTGCCGGGGTCTGGGAGTCAGGTGCGGGCGGCCGAGGGTTAAATTGATACTTTTCAGTTGTAGTACAAAATGCTGTCAGTTCCCTAGTTTTTTTGCTTAAGTTGGTGGAATCCTGACATAGCGTCTAAACATGAAAAAAAAATTTTTCCTGCCAAACAGTCGTATATGCTTTGAATTACAGAAAGGGGAAAAGATTCTTTTACAGTTATATTATTTAATTTTCTGTAGTCTAATACCATTCTGTATTGTGCTATAGATTTTCCCTTTTTTGAACCCTGAGGTAAGCCTTTTGGCACTAAAAAAATTGGGAACGAGTATGGTGAACTTGAAGGCTCGATTATACCCGCCTTACGCATTTCTTGCGTTTGTATCTCTATTTCATCCCTTTCAAACTTACTTAGTTTAAAATTTGGGAGATTTATTGGCGTGTCTTTAGTTAAATAAATTTCAATTGGTTCGGTTTTTGACTCTCCTAAGGCCTATTTATTTTTTGAAAAAACTGATTCATATTTTTGTAACAAAGATAATAATTTTTCTTTTTGTGTTGTGTTTAAATTTGGATTAATATCAAAATTTATTTTATTATTAATTTCGTCATCAGGTAATTTACGCTCGATTTTTTGAAATGTAGTATACGGTTTTTTATTTGTAGCTTTGCTATTACTATTTGAATCATTTAAATCTAATGAAATGTGTTTTATTTCTCGCACTTTGGTTAATGGACAATTAGCCCGCTTACGATCATTCTCGCCTTTTTTCCACGTTTCAGGTGCATTTCCAATTGCTTCTAACATTTTTCTTTCTTGTAATAAGGCACGAGAAGTATGTAGTGAACGAAAATCGTGCGTGAAAGTAACGCGACTTACATTTAAATTTGGATTATTTTTATCGTAACATCCCGGTGTCCAATGACTATTTTCAAAAAAAACTACCAGAAATTTTCTACCTGGCTTATAAAATGCTAGACCTACTATATTTTTAGAATTTTCAAAATTTGGACATATAATTAATAAATTAAAATTATAAAAATCAGATACCGCTGATAAGTCCTCGCCCTCTAGCCAGATTGGGTTTTCAAGTAAATTTAATCCCAATAAATGAGCTATTGTTTCCGCTGTTACATAAATTTCTTCATGTGCAAGCATTGCTGTCAACGCATAAATACTACACAATCCGTCTCCGGGAACCTCAGTTAACTTACGACTACCCCTAGCAATAAGATGTAACCTCAACTGAATAACTAATAAATTTCTCCTTTTTTCAGTTTCAATTTTATTTTTATTACTGTCAACCGTGACAATTTTATCAGTATTTCCTTCACATTTTACTTCAGTATTATTTGAAATTGTATTGCTTTCCTTATCAAAGTTTAAAACTACTTCACTTTTATTACCAGTTAAAATTATTTGTTTATTGACAAAATTTATTTTTGCTTTATATAATTTCAAGAAGTCCGTGCCTAACAAACTAGGTCCTACTAAATTCTCGACTATCATACATTTAAATGGAAATTCAATATTATTAAAAATTACAGTAATATTAGCAATACCAAGCAGTTTTAATTTCGAGCCGTTTGCTGTTATTAATTTTACACAATCCGTTGGTTTTGGCTTGATTTCTAAAGGTAAGTTATCAGCATTAATTATACACGCGGTAGCCCCACTGTAGAGATGGGCGATTCACGTCGGTGAATCGATTTTTTGAATCGATTTAAATCGAAATTAAAAAATCGACCGATTTAAAAATCGGCCAAAATGAATCGATTTTTCGATTTAAATCGATTCACAAAATTACGAATTTTTTAATCACACTACACGGCACACGCCTTAATTTTTTTTAAATTTTATTGAATAAATTATCAAATTTTTTACTTAACACAATATATATTATACGTATACAATGAAACAAAAAAACAAAAAAAATATACAGATTCAACACAATACAGTAATGATACTTAAAAATAAATTATTATAATAATAATAATAATAATAATAGTTTATTAACGGAATAAAATTCCAATTTACAATAATAAAAATAATGATAGTTACATCGGTGTGTGTAATACTAAAAATTAAAACAAATTATATAAGAATAATAGAAAAAAAAAGTATTTTAGTAAAAATTTTATATATAAAATTGTAAAATTGTGCATAAAATTGAGTGAGCTTAACCTAACCTAGGGACAATATTTCTTATGTTATTCAATTATATTAAATCCAAATGCCAATCTTTTTCAGTAAGAGACCCAAGAAACATAATTTGGTTCAAATTTTTACCTGTCAATCGGTTGCGACAATCTGTTACTATCTGTCCAGCTTTCGAAAACAGACGCTCTGATGGTACCGAAGTAGCTACCATCGCTAGGTATGGCTCTACAATTTTTTTTAGATTGGGATAAATTGGCCCATGGGTATCCCAAAACTTCAAAATATCATCGCCTAATGATAAAGTGGGCTGATTTAAATAATGCTTTAAATCAGTAGGCATTTCATTTGAATACATAATTTCATTGACAGCTTTTTTAGACACTAGCTCCTTGTGAACGGACCACAAATTGTCTGGATTTTCATCATCCGAGGAATTGCCCGCGTTAGAAGAACTGCTTTCACTACATTCAATTTGAATATCTATAATTTTTTCTTTTATACTGCCTGTTTCGCCAACACTGGACTTACCTTAATTGGCTCGTGGACGGCGATGACTCGTGAACTGATAGGGGACGGGTGAGGAGTACAAATAATATAATAATAAAGAAAAGTGAATATTAAAACAATATATATAGGCTATGATAAATATGCTAGCATTTATTTACATAAATATAACAGTTGAACCCAATATAATAATAATAGAATAATAGCAAGAGCTTTGATAATAATAACAGAAAGATATTTAATAATAATAACATCAAAATATTTAATAATACTAATAGCAAAATTGAGGTACCTCAAGGAATAGAGAACGATGAATCCTTTCATTGACCGGAGCTGGCAGTATCCAGAACTGGATCAAACTCGTCCCGACTTACCGGAACTGGCGAAAAGATGAACGTCGGAGAGTTGGTGTTAACAACAACAATATAATATCCAAAGCTGGTAAAAGACCAATGAAATGTGCATTCAAAGCTGAACACGTGTTTCTTCAAAAAGAGAGCACCAAGACAACACGAACAACTTGTATGTCAACGACCATAATAATAATGAATCGGTCAAGAATGATAGGGTGCGCAACGTCGCAATATCGTCGTAGGCCGCGCGTTCCAGCTGAACGGCGGCCTACATTTCTCGACCAAGGGGGGTGTCCGAATATTGTACCAACTTGCGCGAACACTGCCAATGGCTTTGGAAGAAGCAATAGGATCATTCGAGTGAAGTGTTTTGAATCGGGGATCTAGAATAGTAGCTATAGACAGAATTTCCAAATACTCTACCCTACCAAACCGGGTTTTTAAATTTTTAAGTAAATTGTTCTTAAAATCTATAGAAATAACATTGTTAATTTCAATTGGTTCAATTTTTTTTATTAAGCAATGAAGTAATGGGATTACTTTGCTAGCGGTTACATAGTTTTGGCCACATAGTTCTTTTGTTGCAGCTTCGAAGGGTTTGAGTAAAATCATTATTTCTTTTGCAACAAATAATTGGGCACCAGAAATCATGGGTGGACTATTAGGGAATTTTACTATAGTGGACGCTATGTTGTCCGAACAAGCAATGAATCTTTGTAACATAAAATATACGGAATTCCACCGTGTAGGAACACTTTGTTTCAATTTGAATTTACAAATTTTATGAAGCTCATCTGTTGCAGCCACGGAATGTTTAAAAAAAGTTACTAAACGTTTTATTTGATTAATAATATTGGCAATGTCATTGGTGTCATCTAAAGCATTTTGAACCACTAGGTTCAACGTATGCGCAAAGCAAGGCAAATGTTTGTCCTTGCCAAAGAAATTATACACTGCATGTTTAATATTAGCACCACTATCTGTTACAACTAATATTACTTGATTTTTTTCAATACCCCATTTTTTAAGCAGATTGTCAAGCCACCCTATAATATTTTCTGATGTGTGGCGTTCTTGAAGTTCAAGAACTCCTAACATAACACTCTCCAATTGTAATTTGGATAAACTGAGATAGTGCCCAGTCATACCAAGATAACTTTTTGTGTTGATGGTGTCTGTCCATATATCCGTCGTTAAAGTTATATTTTCCACTAGAGACAATTTATTTTTTATTTGAACAGCTAGTACATCATACTTTGTACTAATTAATTTGGTAATGGTCTTCCTGGATGGTATTTTATACATGGGTGCCACAGTTTTCATAAAATATTTGAAACCATCTTTTTCAGTCGACCAAAGTGGCATATTATCTTTGACCAACATATACACTATTGAGTTAGTAATTGATACACTTTTGACACCTCCTTCTAAAAAATAAATAAATAATTTTATGAGCTAATTATATTTAATCTTAAAAAATTTAATTTTTTAAATCACCATCCAGCTCATATAATATAAAAAGTAACCTATGGATAGTTATAATTATCAACTATTAAATAATATATTTAATACACACGCATATATTATAAAAATAGTTAATTTATTAAAGGAATGTATTGTGCGTATGTGTATAATTATGAATTGATTGGACAAATGACAAATTGTTAACATTGGAAATATCTATGTCTATAAAATTGTTGTCACTTACATTTAACACTAGCTACTAGAAATTTATACAGTTTGATAATAAAGGTTATTCACATTTCTAATTAATTTTTGAAAAGCATTAACTAATTTTGAGATATTTACAGACATTTGAATTGTTGAAAAATTTAACATAGGGTATGTAATACAAAAATTATCTAACTAAAAAAAATGTTTTAAATTTTCTAAATATTTATATATTAAATCTTACTTTCAAAGGATCTTATGTCATTGAAAGATTGAGCAATTGTGGGTTGCATCAATTTTGACTGTTTTGAGCATGAACTACTGGAGGATCTACTAGTTGAAGTGCCAACAGTAAAATTTGATGCCACAGAAACTTCAGAAATCGAATCACTCAATTCACTGCCCTTTGACAGCACAGTTTCATATCCCGAACACTGTGATGTTGGCCGAGAATGAGACACAACGACTGTATCCAAAGTTGTTTGTGTACCAGACTGTGAAAAAAATTGTTTAAAAAATTATATACATGTGAAATGTCCATATTATTGCAATAGTAATATTTTAATAATTAAATCATAAAAATTACTGTGGACTGAACCATTGATGGATCATCTTCATCATTTTCGAATGGAGTTGGGTCCGATTCCGATCTCGCAGATTTACAAGCTGATACGTTTATATTAATGGATAGGTGTTTGCGTTTAAGATGTTGTTTCAAGTTGGTCGTATTGCCACATGTCTTGACAGTCATACGACACAACTTACACGAACCACCATTATCACATTTATCGAAATATTTCCACATTGTGGATGAATTGGAACTGTTGGAAGACATTGTACACTTGAGAGTTTGAGACTTGACGCAGGTAAAAAGTACAGTAGGGCGTAGAAACTAGAGTCTAGTCTACACAAGTAACTACTAAACTAAGTAAGATCGCAAACGACGCAAACAACGCAAACGTAAAGGCGGTCGGAACTGTGATGCGAGTAAGCAAAACAGCAAATTTATTAGTAATTAGCAAACAATTTAAGACAACGAGCCACGAGGTTTTTACAAGTAAACGTAAAGTAAGATCACAATTCACAAACAACAACAAGTTAACAACGACAACAACGCAAACGGCAAACGCAAAAAGGTTGGAATGGAAATGGAACCGTTTGAATTTGAAGTATTTTGAACTGTTTGATGGCATCCTGTGGTCGTTGGTGGGTGGAGATGGCGTGGAGGCCGTGGAGGCGACAGTGTAGCTCGGTTTCCCGTGTAATCGTAAATTCGTAATGTGTAATGTGTATACTGTATTGTGTAGTAGGTTTTGGTCGGGGGGGGGGGACATGTGTCCAACAGTGTTTACGCCAAGAGGGAAAAATCGGGAAAAAATCGGGAAAAAATCGATAAATCGACTACAAAAAATCTCCCATCTCTAAGCCCCAGTGTCTATTACAAAATTATATTGTTTATTATTAATATTGCCTATTACCTCAAGTCTTAGACCTGGTTCAAATGCAGCCGGAAGCGAAGTCGGATTACATGTCGTAATATACTTATTTATTGTATTGTCATTAATTTTTCGTTTTTCAGCTATTATTTTTTATATTCTAAATCATATTGAATACTATTATAATTGCTAGACGTTGATATTTTATTTTTATTGTATAAATTACTTATATTATAATCATCTATGTCATCGTTTTTATTTATATCAATTTTATTTCGCTTTTTGTTTTGTTTTATGTTTTTTTAATTTTTGTGCCGGAAGTAGGGTCACATCGTTTTTATATTTTTTTCCGATTATTGAATCTAATAATGCTATATTGCTATATTTTGTGTTTCGGTAGAATTTTTTTGTTGGCACAGAGGGAGTCTAACCGCTCTCTCTTGCCTTAAAAGTTTTTTTGATTAATATTATAAAATGAAGTGTTATTCGTATTAAATTTATTATCAAACATTTGATTATTGGAATGTTGATTTGTGACATTATTTACGTCTACATTTTGCTTGTGAACCGTATTCGATTGATTTTGATAATTATTATTAGCGATTTGCTCATTATAGTTAAATTTTTGGTTATTATTATTTCGATAATAATTTTGTGGATGATTATATTGAATAGGTTGCGCGTTTTTATATTTATTGTTACGTACCGTGTTATTTTACACGTATTTATTATACGGAGAGGTGATGTGTATACCGATGGGATAATATATTCAAACAGTGTAGCACCAACGGATAGGGCGAACACCTGCACATCGTGATATTAAATATAATGAATAAGACATGGTCACACGTCTTGGACTTCTCAGAAATGATGAGTAAACAACAGTGTTAACATTGTACGATTTAATTTGACAATTAAGACTTGATCACACGTCGTGTAATTCTTAGAACCGATGAAATCGCAGGAAAGGCACCCAACTGAATAATACATTTAATTTAGTGAGCTCCTTAGGGTCATTGGAAGTCACCACCTCCCCAGTCACCACTCTTGACGGTTAACCATATATAAGGGAGACCAGGGCAAGAGCTCAGCAGACGGTTAGGGATATTCGAGACGCTCAGAGGCAGGTCGTAACACCACTCACGGTCTCGTCTATCAGTATTTCAGAGGCAGGTCGTAACACCACTCACACCATCTTGTGCTTATAAAATTGTATTCTTGTACGAGTTAATTGTATTAAATAAAGACTTAATCTTTTAACTTGCAAACATTAGTATTTCTATTTCTACGTTGATATATGTATCGACGTTGACATAACGGACGCAACATTATTATTCCATTTCGGTTTAGCAAAACTATTATTATTATTGTTTGAATAATATTTATTATTTGGATTAAAGTTACTATGATCATTACCATTCATATTTTGATTTGGAATAAAAGAATTGCTATTAGTATTATAACTACTAAAATTATTGCTATAATTATTATATGGATTATTATCGTACATATAATTATTGGAGTTATTTTGATTATTGTTAAAATTTTGATAAGGGTTCACATGTGTGTTGTTAAAAAATTTCTTTTTTTTTAATTAAAATTATGATTACCGTTATTTAGACTATTTAGTTTCGATTTTAATAATTCATTTTCTTTCTTTAAATTTTCAATATCCACTGTGTTAATACTTTGAACATCCGATTTTATTAATTTTGAATTTTCTATTTTCTTTAAATTAGTTTCTAAATTGTCTAATGTATCGTTATTCATGATAATTACTGTATTGTAATATTCCGGTGTTAGAGCATCTAATATTATATCTATCTTTTCAGTCTCGGGAATGGTGTTATTCGTTTGGCTAATTAAATACAATATATCCGCTAAAAATTCCGATATCGTTTCTGTCGATTTTAATTTTTAATTTCTTAATTTATTTCTTAACATACGATTTATAGCTGGCGAAGCAAATTTGTTTTTAAATATTTGTTCTATTTCATCAAAAGTTAAATTTAAATTATTCATTATTTATGTTTTATACAGTTTATAAGCTGAATTTTTTAAGTATAATGGTAAATAAGTTAATTTTATTTGTGAAGTCCAATCGTTAGCAATAGCTACTACATTAAAGTACTCGAAAAATTCTAAAACGCAATCATCACCTGAACCGTTGAAAATATTTGGAACAAATTATTGAAGTCTTGCCATTTTAGTTTGTGAAATTATTTTATTTGTATTTTCGGCAGTTTTCAATTTATATTCAGCTTCGTTATTATAATTTGTTTTAGTTTCTAATATTATTGGACAATTTTAACTCTTTGAATTAATTGTTTCTAAGCTATTTTCCAAGTTAAAGTTTTTATTTAATTCTATAGTTTCAAATTTATAATTTTCTGATTGCTTATTAGTGTTTGAATCTGGCGACCGTGATTTTTCCAAGTCTATTAAGAGATTTTTTAATTGTTGGACCGCGTTTCCAGTTTCGACAGTATTGTTTTTATTTTCTAATATTTCGGATTGTAGTTGTGGTTTAAATTCAATATTATTATCACTAAAATGTACTTGGCTTTTATTTAAATTTAATGACAGATTTCTTTAAATCGGTCCGGGCTGAAAAATGTTACCGGCTCTACCAAAGTAAAATTATTTTATATTCATATTACAATAGAGAAAATGGTCTGGAGGACAGGACACCAATCTCAATTTTTATTTAAAAATTGAATTAATTACATTAATTAAAATTTAAAACTTAAAAGATTGGTTAAACAATAAAGAATTATCAACCTTTTATTTATTATAAAATATTAAATGTCTACAAATTATTATACATAGTTATAGACATAAATTTCTATAATAATTATTAAATAAAAATAGTATATTATTATGATAGTACTTATTTTAAGTTCTTTTCTATTTTCAAATACAATACTTAAATTAAAAATTATTTTTAAATATAATAATAATATTGGTTATATTTATTGTAGGTACTTACTAATTACTAATATCTAATTTTAAACAAAAGAAAAAACATAGTAATCTACGTAGCAACGTAGCACATATAGGCTATATAATGTATTAAAAAATATTAATTATTAATTAATTTATCCAATTAGTAATTTGTTCATTAAGTTACTGTTTTGCGCGACATATTCAATTATATCTACATTTTGTAAAGAATATAATATATCATTCTCACACGACATTATAATAAAATCTTCCACACATTCTTGACTTAAATTACTTCTTAATCTGTTCAAAATATATTTTAATTTCGAAAATGTTCTTTCACATTGAACTTGAGTTATGGATAATGTTAACAAAAACTTGTATGCTAAAAACATTTCTGTATATGCTGTAGCATACAAATTATACTTCTATAAAATTTGATAACAGCAAAATATACAATTTTTACACGTTTTTTTATGTACAAGGTGTTCTTTGGCTAACTCAGATTCCTCTTCTTCATCGTCCTTTTCTAGATCCAATGTCATACAATTATATTCTTCAAGTAATGTTTTTGAAAGTGAATCCCATTTTCCTGCAAAATCTATTAATTGTTCTTGTAATATTTTTTTATCAATATTTGGTGAAAAGTCTGTCAAAAGCTTAGCTATTTTATTCATCGCATTTTCAGGTAGATTTTTAATTAATTTAAAGTTAGTAGGATGTAGCCATTCAAAGTCAATGTACATTTCTTTATGCTTTGAAAATCTATTTTCTAAACTCTCAATAACAGTATCCAAGGTTATGTTATAAACATTAATTTCATATTTTTATCGATAAAATTTATCGTCCATTAAAAATTATTAGTCATTAAGAGAAATTTGAAAAAACAGTGACTTTACATAAGATACACCTGACCTAATACACTAATATTACAACACAAGTGGTGTACCTCAGAATCGAAATTTCTTCAGAAAAATTTTATTTCTTAAAACTCGGGATTCCAGGGACGAACGCCTCCACCAATTGTAACGTCCCCTCTTCACCTGGCGAAGCGCTCTCGCGTCTTCTTTCCGATAAAGTTATGTTTTGATTAACGAGGTCTCGGGGACTCGACCTCGGTGTGTAATATTAATATACTAGATCAGGGTTACCTTATTTAAGTAAAGCACAATTGTATAAAATGTAACGTATGTTTAACAGATAATTTAGAATTATATATTTGAATGAAGGTTACCGATCCGGGTAGATTGACAAGCCGTGAGTGTGGATGGTGGATGGCTGCATGGATCATTTGAGGAGTGTTCTGGTCGTCTGTCTGCTCCCGGTGTCACACACACACCTCGCACACACTCTCCTATACTACACGTATTCATCCTTGTTATATACCTTAAACTGCTGCCTAAAAACCTTAGGTCAGCAGTCGGCCCCGCTTGCCATTCCTCACACTCCGCATTTT